TACTGAGACGTATCCTTTGTATTGTTTACTATTCTTCTCAGTATCGATTATTATGCCTTTCTTGGGATTCTTCTCTACCATTCCAATAATATTTCTATGATGATAAATTAGACACATGTGCAACTCTTGGGTATCTTTATTGAGGAAACGTTTCGCCACACAGTGGCTTCATCAGTCCATACGTAGGAGAAACTTGAAGAACAGGAGGAGAATGAGGTAATCAGTCCCTCAACCTTGAGTCGATGTGTTCAGTCCATCAATACGGTTTACAAGCTGCTTCTCCGCTGATATGCCGTATTCTATTCAAGATTGATGGACTGAACACATCGACTCAAGGTTGAGGGACTGATTACCTCATTCTCCTCCTGTTCTTCAAGTTTCTCCTACGTATGGACTGATGAAGCCAGTGTGTGGCGAAACGTTTCCTCAATAAAGATACCCAAGAGTTGCACATGTGTCTAATTTATCAACATGTCGGTTCTCTGAACCATTCATCTACAAATATTTCTATGATCCAGATTTCTACTTCTAATATCCTTTAACCCACTACCTATGTAATCAGGTAATCTTGTCAATGTATGGTGCAATCAATTGGTGTAGCATGGTGTTTTGGTGCGTAGACAACTGGTCGAGCGTCACCAATCCATCATGAGACCACCTGGCATAATGAGCAATCCTGTGATTTGTATAGCATTGTTGTTTAAGGTTGTGTACAATAGAATCTACTAGATAGCTATCGAGCTTGTGTAACCCATAATTTTAGTTATATACGGTATTTCTGTCATGTTTCAAGAGAGAAGATTCCATTATGTTCCTTTCTATGACAGAGCTGTTTGGTACAATAATTTGGGCAGCATCCCAACACGGTGGGTGATTACAGAAGCTAACGTTAAAGATAGCGTTCAGCTCCTGCCCTCTCCTGACTCAGTATTTATGTTGGGCTATTCTGGTTTCCAGAATTTTACTTGTTTGACCTACATATGAGAGAGGACACTGAGTACACGGGACCTTGTAAACCCCACCAACTTTGTTGGAGGGCGTGTTTTTAATCAGCCTTTGTTTTACTGTCCCCGTGTTTTTGAAAGCAAGGTTTATATTGATCTTTTTTAATGCTTCACATAGGCAAAGCTGGTACATTTTTCCTAGCCATCATTTCCTTAGGTTCAGTCCTGTAGAAAGTCTTTTTTGCTGATATTAGGGCCTTCTCGACAAAATCCCTAGGATATCTAAGTTTTGTGGCTGTGATGAATATCTTGCATATTTCGTCCACTAAGTACTCCGGACTGCAGATGCTCAAGGCTCACAAGAACACTGTGACGAACACACTCATTTTTACCCTGGTTTTATGATTGGAATAGTAGTGAATTTTCTATCAATACGATGGATTAAAACATCTTGGGAAAGAAACATGGCTTGTGAACCAGGGTGTCCAGCTTATGTGGCATTTGTGATGGCCGAGTGGTCTAGAGCGCTGTCTGGGAATCTGTCCGCCCCAGTAAGCAGTATCGATTCCTGCTGACTGCGATATCTATCTATCTCTACTTTTTTTTTTACACAGGGTTTGACAAGGTTAAGGATCCCTAGCTTTATTGACAAGCTGTTTACAGGTTAAGAATTCATAACTTTATTGACAAGCTAAGAGCTGTTACCTACATCAGTTCATTTGAAAGCATTTTTATTGTTATAAGACATACAAGTAGGGAGCAGGATAAAGTTGGAGCCATCTGTGGGCCAGCATTTTCATTTGATCAACTGACTTTATCTCGTTGACATCATCATGCTGTACGTATGTGTTTCATACTCGAGTCATCCTAGGTATATATGATCTCAGATAGAGTGTTGTTCTGGAGAAGGGTACAGCCAGAGTGAAGTTGCTGCTTTCTGCCCGTCTGGTGGCATAAAAGCTTGTTTCACGCTGTCCTCGAAGTGGATCCAAGTGTGGTACTTTGACAATATTGGCCTTGTACATAACAGTAAGGCCACCCACATCCCTCCTGTGTTGAAGGCTCTGCTGAAATGACAGATCTATCCAGGATCGGTCCAGGCGAGAGATGAGACGTCTTGCTCTGTTCTCTACTCTGTCAAGCAGTCGCAGATGAGAGGGGGGGGGGCAGGCAAACCAAGAAAGTGGAGCATACTCAAGGTGTGAGCGTACTTGTGCCTCGTACAGAATCTTGCAACCCCTACTGTCAAGCAGATGCGAGATACGGCGAAGTGCTGTAAGCTTCCTGGCTGCCTTGTTTGCAAGATTTACAACATGGTTCTTCATGGTCAGTATGGAGTCAAATTTCACCCCAAGGATATCAACTTCTTCTCCAGGTGCCAACACCCTCCCATTCATTCTTACTACTGCACCAGCATTACCATCATGGTGCCTAGAGAAGATCATCATTTGCGTTTTCTTAGGTGCAAATGTTACTTGCCATCTATTTCCCCAAGCTGATTTAGCTCTTAGCTGGTGATTGATGTAGCTTAGAGCAGCTGGCATTTCTTCTCTTGG